TGAACTTTCAGAGGATTGGCGAAGAATGTCACTGCCAGCAATGCTATTGGGCGAGACAATGAGTGAACTCGTTCAAGCAACTCAGTTTGCAAGAAACATTGTGCAGATCAGAAAAACATCGTACGACCCAAAAACTCCTCCCCTGAAGAGAAAACCTATGCAGAGCAAGAATCTGGAGGACACGTGGCAGGCAATGCATGCGCGGAGGAAGAGAGAGAAGAAGCAAACCGTGCGTGTAGGTCCCGATACTTCTTCCCCGCACGCGAAATCCAAAATAAACTTCAAGGTTTCATCATCTTCTTCTTCTTCTCCTTTGTACAAAGAGTGTGGGAAACAAAATTGTAGGTATGTAGTATCAGCCAATAGGGTCTCGCCGAGAAATAAACCGTGGGCTCGAAAGACTGTCCTTTTCCCGAACCCATTGTTCCATTCGTCCCGTTCGCCCACACGAGAAAATAAAAATATTCCGGTGATCACGAGAAGTAATCATCGTCAAATTCAAACTCCACATAAGTTTCTGATCAAAAGCCCTCCAATGAAATCGGCAAACACACTCGAGGGAAGAAAATACGAGGAGAAGGTATTGATGGAAATCGAGAAAAGTCGAAACACGGCGCACAAGTTATTGATGATGCAAGGGAAAATCAAAAGCCCGTCAAAGACTAACTCCTCAAGAAGAATAACGGCTGGTTCGGGCAAGAAATTATCACCACCACCGGCCAAGAAGTCACGGAGATCATTTTCTCCGGCGAGGCTTGCAAACAGGATTGTGCTTTCGCCTTTGAAATTGAGGAGCTCTATATGCAAAAGAATGGAGGGTCTGTGAAAAAAAGGAGGAAAATATTACTTGAAGGATAATAATTGGTTTTGTTTCGTGTTTGTGGATAGTTTTTTTTCCCCCCATTATTCACCTCTGTCAATCCTGTTATATATACCTTGGAGTGGTGATGAGTGAGTGTGCTGCTGCATTTTCTGATGCTCTTTTTTCTGTGTCTATGCTCTTTTTTCACTATTGATTGATTTTTCCTGGGTAAGTCGTTTGAACTACTTTCGAACTTAAAAACAACAGAGGTAATTTCTAATCCTTTTATGTTCCAAAGGGAACAATCACCGTTCCAAATTTGCAATTCTCGGGCAGCCAAAGCTTCCTAAAACCTGTGAAAATGTGTACAAAAGATCACAATTTGACTTAAAAGTCCCAGTATGAAGGTTTTGAACCTTCCCAACGAACAAAGATTGATACGAAGCTTTAGCATTTATCTGATAATAATGCATCAAACGATCTTGTTACCTGCAAATGACAACTTGGTAAGAGGGATCGATCAGTTATCAATCGAATTCTAGGATTCGTTCATAGCCTCATCATATTTTTTTCTGGAAATTCCTCATGGGGTTTTGGGCAAGGATGAAAGCTACTTCATATCTTTCTTTCATGGTTGAGTTTTCACATTTGTTCATGACTTTCAGTTTCCCGATACATATATCACAACAAAGCATTCTTTCTTGTACATCTTGTCGAGGGGAACCAAGCCCAAGTCAATTCAGACAAACATCGAATGTATAATAATCCAATGGAAAATACAATATGCCATAAATCCAACAACTGAAAAGCATCCTTTGATGAAACTTAAATAACATGTGTATGTATATATATGTATATGTATATATTAATCATAGCTTGCGAGCGTAACCCAACACCATCACAAAATCCTTAGCAGACGAGCCAACTGTTGCTGAGACTCTCTCCCCACTAGTCATTCGAAGCCAAAGATCCATTAAGTTGTTTAGGGTCATTGTGGGGTTTACTGTTTGTCCCATGCATTTTATGTCAACCTACAATTCTAACTAACAATGTCACAAAATCTCATTGCTGCAAAAGAAAAAAACAACTTCTAGCAAAGCCAAGTACTTAATTACGATTTGTGCCACTGAGAATGGATCGGAGAACAAATATTCAGTGAAATATGATTTAAGTTAGATTAAGTGGATCAACAAAAATAGTTTCCTGCTTCATAACTAACATGAGCTGGGGTTGTATATACGTCAAGAGTTCATTAAACGATCGGCTTTAGGTTACCTCAACTTCACTAGTGAGATTCAACTTCTTCTGGAGATACTTTTGAATAAAAGAAACCGGTATACTCCCATCCCTGTAAAAAATGTAAGAGTTATATATAAAAGGACACTTCAGCATCACATGATCCATGGTAGAAACATTCAAGGGAACTATACATAGAATAGAAAAGCAAGATGAAATTAAATGGAGGACATAGTTCTTTCACCAACAATGAAAATATAAGGCAGGAGAGAGATAAGACACGGGCAATTTGGACAAAACTATTTTAGACAATTACCATGCAGAAAACTCTTTCATGCTATATATCGTTAATCATCATAAACCGCAACAAGTAATGTCAGAGGGTTTATAAATGAAGTAGTTCAGAACTCCGTTTTCCTCTGGAGTCAAAAGGATCACTTTTCATATTATAACTGAAAAAACCAAACCTTTTCTTAAGTGATGAATGAAAAAAGAAATAAAACAACTGACAGGTCAGCGACCGTGTAGCTATATATGTAGTAATCCACAATCAACTAATATCACCAACTCATCTTGAACATGCAATGCATGACTTCCAGCACAGTAACACAATTTCCTAGGGATAAGATAATTTTCTTCTGCTTTCAAGCTCAAGCTGTAACTGGTGCGAAAATAGGTGGACGAAAATGGCTATGCAGACTTCTAACCAGGTAAACTAACAGAAGAATAAAAGATGCTAAAAAATTTCCAGCAGAAAAAGTAATAATCACAACACTGGGGCAAAATGATGAGTACCACAAACACAAATAATATAGTGATTGATTAAGGAATATGGCACTATGCAGTCTAAAGTTGCCAAACTGCCATAACAAAACCAATGAGCAGAAGTTGACAAACACTGAAATGCTCCCACATATGCATGCAAAGTTATTTAATGGTTCTAGAAAATTCTGTATGCATCCAGAGCAACTAGATCATAGTATTATCAAAAAACGGGTGAGGAAACACATCAGCACATATCATACCAGAATAGATAATGCCATAAGAATAATATTAGTAAGCATTGTTGATCTTGTTTTCCACTAGATCGTAGTATTATAAAAAACGGGTGAGGAAACATCAGCACATATCATACCAGAATAGAGAATGCCATAAGAATAATATTAGTAAGCATTATTGATCTTGTTTTCCAACAACTGAATATATGATGCCATCAAATACTAAATCAGATGTTTCTATAGTTAATACAAAAGCAAAAACACCCCAAAGGCCAAAATGTATCCTTTCAAACCAAAATATCCACCATTTTAATGGCCAGAATGACAGAGGTAATGAAAACTAACTTTATTCTCAAGTAACTTGCAGAAATCTGGGGCAGAGGTGGTACATCTCCTTCCCTGGAAAAATATTACATTAGATTAACAATTGCACTGAGCTAAAGCAACGTACATAACCATATTTATTCTCGAAAGGGTTGAAATAATCTACTTACAGCTCATCAGAGGCCACTAAGGAGAACCAAATCGGGTAACATTTTCTTTCAGGTTTATCACTTGTTGCATCTAGCACAACCTGGGCTGGGACCTTAAATTCTCCTGACTCTCGCGCTTTCTGACTGTTTTTGCGTAAATTCTTAGGTCTTTCAGATTCCATAGGGGTATTATCACTGCTATTCTTCTTGTCCTTAACTTTTGACTTCCTACATTGTTCCTTATTTTTGCTCGTCCCTATAGGTCCCTCATTGTCATGAAAATGTTGGTCCTCAGATTTAACAAGAGAACCTTGTGTGCTCAACTTTGAAGATTTGCTCCGGTTTGCTGCTTCTACCAAACAAGTCAGAGGCTTCCAGGGATCAATTTTTCCATCCCAATGTTCAGAATGAATTCCCTTTCCCTTATTGCAACTAGGATCATTAGATGGCTCGACTGAAGCAGAGCTCTGTAAGAAAAATGTTGGTCAGTACGAGTGGCGTATTAGTAACATAGGTTGGCACATCTAAAAGATACATTTTCATCTTCAATTTTACAAATACCCTATTGACATTTATAAAGATTTTCACAAATGGTCCTGAAAGGAGGGTCTTTTTACAAATACCCTATTGACATTTATAAAGATTTTCACAAATGAAAGGAGGGTCTTTCTTAATGGTCCTGAAAGGAGGGTCTTTCTTAGGTAGACACAAAATCTCAATGGTACATTTGAAGTTGTTGAATTTTTCATTGTTATAAGGTCAATTTTGCATATAAAATATGTGTACAAAGCTATGGACAACATAAAAGAGTAACGTAGTAACTTTTTTCATAAGATTTAGCGAGTCAAATACACCATACCTGCCTAATATGCTGAGTTAATTTGCTCAACATCTCTGGTGAGGTAGAACTCTCAGGAGGATCATCAACAGTATTCTTAACAGATTTTTCAGTGGTGAATGTAGAGCCCTTGGATACTTTTCTTGCAATGGATTTTGATCTCCTTCCGGTCATTCTAGTGTATGTTGATACTCTTGGGGTGCTAACAACTAATGATGAAAGGGACCTCTCCTTTCTCTTTGCAGGCAATGCCACAGGATTCACGACTTCAGGGGAGTTCACCATTATCCTCTTATAAGAAAATAATTTCACCCCTATATCACGCAATTTGCGATCCGCCCTGGGAGAATAATTAAAGTCTAAGATAAATAATTTATTTCGCCAAAATGTAGTATATGCATTAGTTATGTAGTAGTGTACATGTAACAGAAGAGGAATAAGAGGTCACCAATGAGATAAAAAAAGAGACTAGACTCTGATTTAAAAAAAAAAAAAAAGAAAAAAAAAATCTATAAGGTACAATAGAAAAATATTTGCAGGACATGCATGACGCCAACCTAAAACATAAGAAGCTTATACACCAATATGCAGTCTTTTGATATTGTGTCTGTAAGTTTGTGAGTGTATATTTTGGTGTGGATTGTTATTTAAAAAAGAATGTGTAAACCATTATTTTCCTTCATATTGCGAACACATTATAAAATATCAATCAATTCAGAGAAGGACAAGAAAGTCTACATAAACTTAAGCATATCGTGTGATCTTCTGCAAGTTTCTGATCT